ATAGAATAAGATTTGGGTCCCATTAATGCAGAAAGATTTTCATAATTAGACTAAAAATGGAGATTTAATTCTTTAGCAATAATAAAGGAAACAAAAGTTTGACACTTTATTAAATGCAGGCCAACAAAGCAAAGCATTACTGATTAATTTACTTTTACCGGATTCCAAGCATCAATTGCAACTTCTGCTTTATATATAAAAAGTATTAATACGACACAACCATACATGAACAAGGCAAAAGATGATTCAAAGGCGGGTGGGTCCTTTTCAACCATGTCACATTTGTTGGTTTCCAGCTTCATCTATGTATTATAAGAATTCAAAGAACGTCAAAATCTTCACAAAAATCCTCTTGCTCGTTTTTCTTACAAATATTTAGTTTCTTTGATTATGGCTGAAGCTATTATTTCCACTGTCTTGGAGCAACTGACTTCAATCATTGCTGGAGGGATACAGGAGGGGATACAAGAGGTGAGGCTAGTTGTTGGTGTCGACGAGGAAGTCAAAAAGCTTAGGAGCAATCTTGAAGATATTGAAGCTGTGCTCGTTGATGCGGAGGAAAGACAAGTGAAGGAGAAAACTGTAAGACTTTGGTTAGATCGGCTCAAACACGCATCCTACGACATTGAAGATGTGTTGGATGAGTGGAACTATGCTATGTTGAAACAGCAAATTGAGGGAGTTGAATATGTTGTTGTTCCTAAGAAGGTGTGTTTCTTCTTTCCCTCCTCTTGCTTTTCATTCAAACAAGTTATTTTACGTCATGACATTGCGATGAAGATAAAAGAAGTCAATGAAAATTTAGATGTCATTGCGAAACAAAAAGATAGGTATAAGTTTAATGTGAGTAGAAGTGTTGGGAATTCCGACCGAGTACAAAGTACTTCATTTGTTGATGTGTCCGATATATATGGTCGAGTTGAGGATAAGAATACTTTAGTACGCATGTTGTGTGAGAGCAGTGAACAACACCCCCATATCATCTCTATTCTGGGGATGGGGGGAATCGGTAAGACAACTCTTGCTCAATTTGCTTCTAAAGATAGTGAGGTGATAAACAACTTTGATAAAGTAACGTGGGTGTGTGTGTCAGAACCTTTTGATGAGAACAGGATAGCCAAAGCAATCATCGAGTCTCTAGAAGGTTGTACTCCGAATTTAGGTGAATTGGAATCGCTTTTTCAGCGTATTAGTAGATCTATTGCTGGAAAGAAATTTTTGCTTATCTTGGATGATGTGTGGTCAGATGACTATAAAAAATGGGAACCATTACATCATTGTTTAAAGAATGGTCTCCGTGGAAGTAAGATTTTGATTACTACACGTAAGGAATCAGTGGCAGGTATGATGGAATCAATTGGCATTATTGCTGTCAAAGAAATGCCCAATGAAGAGTGTTGGTTGTTGTTCAGGCGATTTGCATTTTCTGGTAGGTCTCAAGAGGAGTGTGAAAATCTAGAAGAGATAGGCAAAAAAATTTTAAACAAGTGCAAAGGTTTGCCTCTTGCTGCAAAGACTATTGGTAGTCTTTTGCGATTTAAAAAAACCAGAGAAGAGTGGCAAAATATCTTAGACAGTGATTTGTGGGAACTTGAAGAGTGTGAAAAAGATATTTTTGGTCCTCTACTATTAAGCTATAATGATTTGCCTTTCAAGATAAAACGATGTTTCACGTATTGTGTCATCTTTCCGAAGGACCATAACATAGAAAAAGATTATTTGATTAAATTATGGATGGCTCATGATTATCTCAAAGAAGGAAATAAAGTAATGGAGATAGTTGGTCAAGAGTATTTTGATTACTTAGCATCACGCTCATTCTTTCAAGAGTTTAAAAAAGATGATGACAATAATATCATAGGATGTAAGATGCACGATTTAGTGCATGACTTTGCCCAATTCCTGAGTAAGAATGAATGTATCTCGATAGAAGATGATGGTCTTAAGGATCCAATCATAAACTCTTCTTATCATGAGCAAGTTTGTCACTTGATGGTGACAATTCATAGAGACTATTCATTTCCTAATTCCATTTTTAGTCTCAGAAGGATTCACAGTTTCCTATGTAATTTTGAAGATTCCTCGGATCAATTGGCTCCTAATATCTTACCAAAATTATTTGGTGAGTTGACATGTTTAAAGGCATTAACCATAGGTAGTATGGTAAAGTGGAGTGCAAATGTGATTGAAGACATTCCTAAAGAGATTGGAAAATTGATACATTTGAGATATGTTAATTTGAGAGCACTAATAGTGAGAAAACTTCCAGAAGAATTATGTGGATTATATAATTTGCAAACTTTAGACATTAGTGATTGTGAAGTATTGGAAGAATTACCTCAAGGGATTGGAAAATTAATAAATCTAAGGCATCTAGAAAATGATGGGGTCTGGTCATTAAGATACATGCCTATAGGAATTCAAAGATTGACTAATCTCCGAACCTTAAGGTTGTTCGTTGTGAGTGGTGGTGGTGGTGGTGGTGGTACTGATAATAAAGCATGTAGCCTTGAAGGTTTGAAATACCTTAACATATTCGGAGAGTTGCGTATAGCAAAGTTAGGAAATGTATCAAATGTGGATGAAGCTAGAAGATCAGAGCTCAAGAATCAGGAAAACCTCCTTCATTTATCTCTGGATTTCAATACAGATGAAGGAGAGAGGACGAATGAGGATGATGAAGTACTTCTTGAAATCTTACAACCACCTTTAAATTTGGAGAAATTAGTGATACGGAATTACAGAGGCAACACTATTTTGCCCAACTGGATGATGTCCTTAACCAAGCTCAAGAGATTAACGCTCTCTACATGCATGAACTTGAAGCATTTGCCTCCCTTGGGAAAACTGTCATCCCTTGAATATTTGTATATAATCTTTATGTGGAGTTTGAAAATGGTGAGTAATGAATTTTTGGGAATAGAAAGTGATGGCACATCTTCATCATTTATTTTCTTCCCCAAATTGAAAACTCTTTGGTTGTATAATATGTTTGAATGGGAAGAGTGGGATTATGAGATTACAAGAAAGGGAGAAAAAGAAGATGATATTACAATCATGCCATCTCTTGTTTCCTTGACAATTTTGGAATGCCCCAAATTGAAGGCACTACCAAACCACCTTGTTCAAAACAAAGCATTGAAAAAACATATTGCTGGCTGTCCTCTGCTAGGCTACAATTGATGAAGGGGAAGAAGAGAGGTAATATTTTTTTATTTTTGTTTAAATAAAAGTATTTGTGATTGAATAATTAATGAGTTTGAAGATATTGAAAAAAGCCATGTGTTTAAGTTAAATGATAATGATAGATTTAGTTGGTGGTAATTTAAATAATGGTCCAAATTCAAGAATTAGTAAATATAATATTAATACATATGGCTGGCCTGGCATTGCCAATTTTGATTCACTAATTATATTCACTTTTGATTTCATTATCTTTATAAAATTAATTTTATTTCATCAAAACTTTTAGTTAATTAAAAATAAATATAGAATATTTATATATTTTTTGTAAAATTAAAGAATGGATTGGGTCATTAATACAAAATAAGGTACATAACTGCTTTGTGTTTCTGATTCTAATGTGCTGAAGTGATTTACTCTTTCATCTTTGAAGGAAATACTCAAGGGTAAAGCAGTAAATAAAGGAAGAACAACAATGAAAGATATATATGATTGTTGGTTGTAGGGGAAAATGAGAGGTAATATATTTTATTTTTGTTTAAATAAATGCATCCAATTTCTGATTGAATATTTAATCAATTATTCAAATTTCATGTGTTTAAGTAATATTCTGTTACTGATCATCAGACTAACTACTAGAGGCCATAGAAATGCAGAACCAGTTTATCTCATTTTTGGAAGAAGAAACTTTGTTGAGGGACTTGTATAAAGAGATAATTTGCAAGATGAAACAAGAGCTCAATCCTGTTCTTAACATTTCCCTGGTGAGCTTCAGACTGATCTATGTTTCTATCTCCTGTTTGCTTCTTGCGTAGACAATTTGTTATTGATAATAGATACTTGACACACAGCATTTTCCAAAACCAAACCCAGGGAAACTTTGAAGAGAGGAAGAATGGGTTTTGGAGAGTAGCAGAAAGAACTCAATTAATGGTTGGTTATGCTTTCTCAATGTTGCTGTCTGTTCTTTCTTTAATTCATGATGTTTATTTAGAAAGCAAATCACAACATTTTGTAACTGGTTCTGTTATTTATTTTTTTATTATGGTTGCCAACAATGCTAGGAATTTCAAATTGACCACATGGCATCATGCACTGAAGAAAACTTGATTGAGGTACTTGTAAGCAAAGAGAAAACTTACCAGATGAAATCAATGCTCAATCCTTTGTCTTCACATTTGCTTGGTAAGCTAGAATTTGATACTATTAATCATCTGATAATATTGTTTATGCAATTTTTTTGGTTTAACTAAGGCATGCAAATTTCTATTTGATCACAGCTTCAGAATTTGTGCCTTAGAACAAATATGGAAGAGGATGGACAAATATAGGAGATTATGTACTCGAAAGGACTCAAGTGGTTGGTTATGCTTTCTCACTTCTTTGTTTTTCCTTATTTTTAAACTAGAAAGCATATCACAGCACAATTACTGGTTTTGCATGTTCTTTAAATTTTATGCATAACTGATTTATGTATCTGTTATTTGGTTTCTCTTACTGTTGGATTGCTCTTTTGTCAGAAGCTTCTCAAATTACGGTGGATTCCCTCTATGAAATCCTTTGATGATTCATTGTGATAGGTTTATTTTCTTGCTTATCTCTCTACTCAGTGGGGACATTGAAAAGCCATGTTCTCTATAATTAAACTTTATTTTGATATGTTAATTTTGATGCAGAGAGGCAAGTTTAAGATGTCATGAATTTCCTGAAGAATCAACGTTGACATATGATGTCTTGAATTTCAGCAAAACTTTCCTATGCTAAGACATTTGTTCACTTTCAGCTAATTGAAACCAGGCATAAAATTCCTTCTGCAGAACTTTTTGTCATGCTGGAAAACAGTGACAGACCAGGCATAAAATTACTTATGCTGACAATTTATAACTTCTGTCACTGATCGGCAGAGAAAATACTCCGGGGCAAAGTAATGAAAGGACAAGTTGTAATCGTTCAGTAGCAGAAATTTCGGTGAGGGCAATTCTATCGAAAAGAAAAGTTGCCCAATGAAACAGCCAACAAGTGCATATCTTTTGGTTTTCAAAGTTTCTTTGTGAGTAGCATCTCATCTATCCGTTTCCTACATTGCTTCTTCAAGAAAACAAATTGTTATTGATGATACCGCATTACCTATTCATTTCTTCTTTAATAACTGGTTTTTGGTGTTTGTCAGGGAGCTTCTCTAATTGCACTGAATTTCATCTATGAAATCTTTGAGGACTCAGTTTGAGGTTTCTCTTGTCAAGTTGTAAGGAAAGTTACCTATGTTAAGGTGTTTGTTCTCTTTGAGCACATTGAAACCCGGCATCAAATTCCCTGTCAAGAACATTTATTCACGCCGGAAACTATTGACAGGCCTGGAGAAACAAGTCCTAAATCTTTTGGTTTTCAAATTTGCTTGGTGAGTAGCATCTCATCTGAGTTTCTATTTGCTACATTGCTTCTTCAAAAGAACAAACTTTCATTGATGGTAGCCGATCACCTATTTATATTCAACATTTGTTTAGAAAACTTGTATATGGTATTAATGTTTGCATCTTCATGTGGGAGTGTGCTTTAGCATCAGATGATAATGGAACCATGAATCGTAACAGAGGAATTCAAACATAATGATACAAGCATGCTAATAGGGGAATTATCAATGAAAGTTGTGACTTGTGACTTTTAAGTAGATATTGAGCAACTGCATCTGTCATTACACTGGATTCTCTATGAAATCCCTTGATGACTAAGAAGCTAAGTTTGTTCTGGTTGTCCCTCTACTTATCAGGCAAGTTTAAGATGTCATGAATTCGTGTTTTTTTTTTTTTTTCCCTCTATCTGAGCTTATTGGAACCACACATTTTATGTCTACTGAAGTTTGTATCATCCTGGAACAAGTTGACAGGCCTGGAACCTATGTACTTGTTAAAGGTCATAATCCCACTTTCCTTTAATCAATTTTCTGATACTGTTTAAGTTTCTTTTTCTTTATACTAAGGCATGTAATTTTCTATTCATAGTTGCAAGTTTCATCAAATATTTATTGTCTCAGTGCTGTATTTTGCGTTATTTAAGAGAGGAACAATGACATTCAGAGGTCAGTTGAAGAATTGTGATTAATAAACATATCAGAGTTAATACATGGTTGGTAATGCATTCTTACTAATAATCTTTATTTTTTCTTCATTCTTGATGTTTAAACAAAAGCAGATCACATCATCCTCTTTCTGAATCTGCTATTTCTTTAATGTGCAGAACTGATTTCCTCACCGCAGGGAATGCTCTAGGGCAAAGCAATTGCAGAAACCTCATTGATGCTCTTGTAGAACTAAAAGCAAATTTGCCTCATGAAACAAGTACTGAATCTTTTGGTTTTCACATTTTGTTGGTTGAGCTGGCCTCTGATCTATATATCTCTTACTTGCTTCTTAAATAGAACAATTTACTACCCTTTTTTAGAATTAATATCATCACTGTCATTTGTAATCCTATAAATAATTAATGCATTTTTCATATGTCAGTGTGCTTTTACCCAACTGGATGATGTCCTTAACCAACCTCAGGGACTTTACACTAGCTGGATGCATAAACTGCAAGCATTTGCCTCCCTTGGGAAAATTGTCATCCCTTAAATCTTTGTGTATAACTCTCTGTACTCCTTAAAGGTCACAACACTGGGTTATGGAAGAGAGGAAGAATGAAGGACCAATTCTTTATAGTTGAATGGCAGAAACTTCATTGAGGCACATATATTGTAACAAGAAGAAACTTTTGCCTGATGAAACAAGTGCTGAATCTTCTGGTTTTCACATTTTCTTGGTGAGCTCTATATATGGATAAAAGTCTTCATAATTTAATTTAATAATATGTATTTACCGCTTCTGCTTTATATATAAAAGGATTTCTACAACACAACTATACATAAAACCAAACAAAAGATGATTCAAGGTGCTGGCCAACCAGGCTCACCATTACTGATTCTATTATTTTAAAAGGATTTGGTATATATCAACATTGAAGTCTGCATATTTTTGTTGAATTATTGGTATCAATAGAAGGTGCGCAGGTCCATGCCACCATGTAACATTTGTTGGTTTATAGGCTTCTTCAATGTTATGTAGTATAAGAATTCAAACGATGTCACAAGCTTCATGAGTATATCTCTCGCTCTTTCTTCTTACAAATATTTACCTTTTCTGATTATGGCTGAAGCTATTATTTCGCGTTATCTTGGAGCAGCTGACTTCAATCATTGCCCAAGGAATACAACAGGAGGTGAGGCTAGTTGTTGGTCTTCTAGCTATTCAAGCTTCAGGAGCAATCTTCAAGCTATTCAAGCTGTGCTCCTTGATGCAGAGGAAAGACAAGTGAAGGAGAGAAACGTCAGACTTTGGTTAGATCGGCTCAAGGACACGTCTTATGACATTGAAGATGTGTTGGATGAGTGGAACTGTGCTTTGTTGAAACAGAGGATTTGAGGGGCTTGAAAATGCCCTTGTTCCTAATAAGAAGGTCTGTTTTTCTTTTCACATTTGCTTGGTGAGTAGCATCTCATCTATATTTCTATATGCTACATTGCTTCGTTAAAAGAGCAAATTGTTGTTGATGATAGCCAATTACCTATTCATATATACACAATCCCTTTTTAGAATTAACATCATCATTGTCATTTTTAGTCTTGTCAATAATAGTAATGTTTGCATCTTCATGTCACAATGTGGTTTAACATCAGTTGATCGTGGAGTGATGAATCGATGCGGAGGAGGAATTCGAACATTATGGTACAAGCATGCTAGATGGGAAGTTCTTATCAATGAAAGTATGCTAGATGAAGAAACTTCTCCAATTACTCTAGACCCTCGATGAAATCCTTGATGACTGTTAAGAGTGTGGTTTGTTTTGGTTCTCTCTATTTAGTATGACAAAGCCATGTTCTCTGTAATAAACTTTGATTTTGATATGTTAATTTGGATGCAGTGAGACAAGTTTAAGATGTGGTGAAGTCGTTTTCTTGTTGCATTTGATCTATTTGAGTATATAGAAACCAGGCTTCCAATTCTGTCTACTGTACTTTATATCCCTCCTGGAAAAAGTTGACAGGCCTGGAACTATTTCGCATAGCCTATGTTTGTACATTTTAAAGGTCATAATCTCACTTTCCTTGAATCATTAAAAGTGCTTTTTACTTTATAATAAGGCATGTAGTTTTCTGTTCATAGTTTCAAAGTTCATTAAATATTTATTGTCTCGGTGCAGCTTTTTACATTATGGAAAAGAGTAAGAATGGCATTCGGAGAGTAGTCGAAACAACTCGACTAATATGGAGTTAATGGTACGTTATGTATTCTCACTAATAATCTTTATTCATTCTTCGTTTCTTGATGTTTAAACAGAAGCGCATCTCAAAATCATGTTTCTGATTTTGTAATTTCCTTCATGTGCAGTGTAAAAAGAGTGAGTAATGAATTTTTGGGAATAGAAAGAGATGGCACATCTTCATTATTTATTTTCTTCCTCAAATTGAAAGTTCTTTGTTTTTTTGAGAATGTATGAATGGGAAGAGTGGGATTATGAAATTACAAGAAAGGGAGAAGAAGATGATATTACAATCATGCCGTCTCTGGTTTTCTTGAAATTTATAATTGTCTCAAGTTAAAGGCACTGTCAAACCACCTTGTTCAGAAGACAGCATTAGAAAAATATATTGATGGTTGTCCTCCGCTAGGCTACCCTTGAAGGCGAAAACTAGTTAATTAATGTATATAGCGAACTTTTACAGTGAATTATTCTTCATAAATTGAGTATATTTTATTGCATAATAATCCCACTATATTCAATTTGTTTATATATTATTGGTTTGATAATTAACAATAGTTTGTATTGAGTTACATATTAAACTTTACATTATTAAAGCAAATTAATTAAATAACTTCTTTACCGTGTTGATTTTTTATCCCAGTGGAACTTTTGTCGTCTCTTTACTGTTTGGACCTCATTTGCGCCAAATGATTTCTCATGGTGCAGTACCTCGCAACCTTGAGGACAAGGTTGAACCACGGGGAAGGCAATGTTAGGATTATTTTAGAATTATGATTATTATGTTAAATTTTTTTATAATTATCATTTATAATTATGTTATTATTTTATTAGAATAGAATTATGATTATCTTTTTATAATTAAGATAGAATATCTTATTAGATTTGAATTAGACAATTAGAGTCATTTTGGGAGTCATTGGAGTAAGGCTATATAATAGCCTAAATCAAATCTAGATTGTGGTTATCAACGAAGAATTTTGTCAATTAATCTTTCTGTCTCTTGTCTTAGAGGTCTCTGTTTCTTATATAAATAGATTCTATCCCAAGCTCTATCAATATGTGATTGATGAGTGACTATTCGTGGTTAGAGAAACAAAAACTTGACTCATCAAAGTTTGAGGAAGCATGAAAAAGCAAATTCACAAGATTGAAGAAGACAAGCCAGCAATGTTGCCCACTAAATCTAAAGCTGGCCTGCTGAGTTGATTCTTATACAAGACAATTACGTTCTTTAAATTGATTTTGGGTATTAAAGATGTTGCAACTTGTAAAATGGAGTTTTCTGGGTTGATGTTGATTATTATAAATTTATAATATAAATTATACTCAAAATAATCCACCCAGTTGACCACTTACATTACTATAACCGACCAAATGATTAAGACTAAAAGTCTTGTAAACCATTTATATTTATATATTTTCGATCATTTATATAGACCGAAATTAAAGGGCACCCTCACATGTTAGCTAGGTCAATCAATCAAGGCTCCCTTTCAAATAAAAAATTGTTTTTTGAAGATCAATCAAGGCCCAATTGGTTTTTAAAACATTGGTTTTGTTGGTATAAAATGGGAAGGATCAATGAATTATGTGAATGAAGCACCTGATGAATTTTGTTCATTTTGAAGATTTTTTGGTTAAGTTTTTATTTGAATTTTTTTTTTTTAGTTGTTAATTTAGTATAGAAGATCAATAATACTATTGTTGGATATGGTTCATACTTTGTATGAACTTGACCCCTACGTAAATGCATTCAAGGGTCGCCTGCTCACCGGTGAGCAGGCGAGGGTGAGGGGCAGTGCCCCCTTCACAGTAAGTCTAATTAGTAATTGAACTTATTATCGTTTTATTAATATTTATGTCTGGGTCACGTTAAATTTAGGTAAGCCCAAATGGGATAGGGTTTTCTATTATATAATATAATAGTGAGCAACTTAGGGTTACAAGAAAAATAGAGAGAGAGAATGAGCTGCCGTCATTAGTGATTTGTAATTGCTTCAGGGTTCTGAAACTCAATAAAATCTCTATTTGAATATTGGACGCAATTCTTTAATTAGAACGAATCAGGATAATACAAGTGTTATTTATTTACTTTTTTATTTATTTTATTGCGTATGTTTGATTGATGTTTCAATAATTATACTTATAAAAAAATCTTATAAAGGATTTTATACAAAACGGGGTTACAAAAAATGAATAGAAAAGTTAAACAAAAAATCATACTCATTATAGGATCATGTTTCTAATATTGTAATTTCTTCCATGTGCAGTATTGATTATAGAATAGTAAATATGTTGTTTCTTTGAATGACAGAAGCCTTTTTATACAAGTAAATGTATGTGAGGATTTCCTCTAGTGTTGTGCCTTGTACCGTGTTTGTGATTATCATCATATAATGTTTATAAGCATTAGTAAAATGCAAATTTATGAAGCCTGCTAATCTAACAGCAAACTTTTTGTTCATTCCTGTTCACTGCCTTCATCCGGGCCGCCAACTTCGTTGATATCAACGGTGAAACTGCATTCTCAGTCACAGCCCAAATATGAATCACACACAAAATACAGAGTACATGATTTCTTGCCAGCATCTGCAGGAGCAGCAAAATCAAGCTTGACCCTTGACTTCCTTTGGAGTGACACCCTCTTAATGGCAACCAACTGGTTAGTCTTGGTGTCGCCAACAAGCAGCCACCAGCATTCATCTTTGGCTTTAGGATATCTGGGAGCATCAACAGGTCCCACCTCTGTCCTCCCCTCCACATCCCGCTCAAGGGTGACTTGCAGTGTAATGTCTTCCCGAGCCCTTACAATATCACCATCCTGCACCTCATAAGATCTGTCTATGTTGGGGAAACGATTGCAAAACCTTGCAACATCAGTTAACTGTGAATCGGACATCTGCAGGAGCTCATGCCTCTCATCATCCTCCATATCCACCAAATCAAACAATGACTCTATGCTCTTGCCAGGATTCTCTTGGCATTTCTTTGCCAAATCTTTTGTGAAATGCGGGAGCTGAAGAAGCATGGAATCACATTCCCACATGCCCTGAGTCACCATTTGACTCGCTTCCATTGCAAGGAGTGCAAGGCTTAACCAACCATTACTTGAAATAACATCAACCATAGCCTGGAGCAATCTACTAGCAGAAAGGAGAACCTCCCACTGGTCCAATGCAAGGTTCCCACCCACTGATTGTCTCGAGAAGTGTGCTTGAAGAAGAGCATTCGCCTTAACATGAGGATCACTGCATCTCGGATTCTCAAATGAAAATCTGTGGTGATTAATTAACCTCCAAACCACCTCTTCCTCCCCAGGTCGTATAGGTAGTTCCATATACTCTGAAGCTGAAGCAAGAATCTCCAGAAGACCCTTCATCTTTGTCTTCGGAGTCAAAGAAGAACCGAACCATTCACTAGTAGTATAACTGATGTAATAGTAAGAAGCAATCATGCCATGATTTGAAGGAGAAAGGTCCTTGTCATCTTCTATAATGATG